TCTTGTTCATAACAAAGTTGTTCACGAACTCATGAAAATCAGGGGATAGGCTTTCCAAGATGATGCCAACTTGGGTGGCTTCATTGATCCTGGCACAATTGAGTTCCGCATCATGGAGGTGATCAATCATGTTCAAAACATGTGCCTTGACTGAAGAACCTTTCTTCATTTTGTCATTCTTGAAAGCCCTAACAGCATCCAAATGAGCATTCTCAGAGGGAGCGCCGAACATGGCTTCTAGAGACTCCATTATCTCATAAGTAGTCTCCATCTCCTCATGCTTCTTGCGAAGCACATCGCTTATACTGGCCAACATAAAGCACTTTGCTTTGTTGTTGGCCTTGATCCAGTGATCATAAGGCTCCATTGCGATTTTAGATGCATTAGCCGCAGGTTCAGGAGGACATTCCTCTACTAGGACAAACTTGTAGTCTTCGCAGACCAACAGTATATTCATGTTACTTTTCCACTTAGCATAGTTATCACCGTCTAATTTTTCAGTCGCTTTTTTTTGAATTTGTAGTCTTCGCAGACCAATAGTATGTTCATGTTACTTTTCCACTTAGCGTAGTTATCACCGTCTAATTTTTCAGTCGCTAGTAGTGTGATAATGGGATTCGACATATTGCTGGAAATAAATAGAATATTCATCTAATCAATTTATGTGCATGAATATCAAGGCATGTTAATTTTGGCACAATTAAATATGATGCATGAAGCACATGAAAAATACATAAATCATGTTTTAATTTTAGGTGCCAACGATAATCTAATTTTCCACATATAAAGTGTACCTTTGGGTAGTCAAGTTATATGCCAATTAGACCGAGACTCTTCTCAATTAATAAATATAGTCAAAATATCTCATATTTTCATATTTATTAACTACCATTATTTTTAGTCAAAATATAACCAACATATTTGATTATATTTTATGAGTGTGACCCACCGTTTCAGATCCCATAGACTTAACTCCGGATTGCTACCTTTGGGTAGTCAATTCAGAATTACATCTTGAAATCTTATCTCTAGGAAGTCAACCTTGTTATTGATCTGGCAAGAACACTCTCCTTTAGGAGGGCGATTCAATGTCGCCACAAAGCCCCTTTCCGGATTTCACGGTGTTACGCTAACGGCGGAGATTAGTGGGTCGTATTGTCATACAACCCTCTCCCACTCATTATTTTGCAAATATGTATTTTGTTTGAAAAACATCTCATGATTTTCAAATCGAAAAATAAATAATTTATTTTTCGGATATGTGAAATTCTAAAATTTAAC